TCGTACAACTTTGCCTACTCTTCTATGACTGTTGGGGGCCAGGGTGTTCCACATGGGGGGCCGTCTAGTCAAGTTTTCTCCCAGGACGAATACCTTCCCCCCATGAGGACACAGTCACACACGGCCAGGCATCAACCCGCCCCCAACATTGGTGGGGGTAGAAGAGCTCGGGCCCGTCCCCGCGCTCAGCCGTCCGCCCAGCACCTCCAACCTGAGCAGCCCGAGCCTCAACAAGGTGAGATTTTTAAATTAGCATTTTTTTTTTATAGTTCAATTTATAATTTCTTTTTTCAATTGAATTACTCAGATGAAGAAGAGGAAGATGAGCAGGATTTTCAAACTGACACGCTTCTCACACCTCAACCTTCGTCTTCTACTCACGTGGTATATACTCGGAGGGGGTTAAGACCGCGCAAACCTACACAACCATTCACTCCTTCCTAGTTAGTTGTGTTGAATTTGTTGATTTTGTGTTTATTTTGAATTGTTGGATTGTATGTATAAACCGAATTATATCGTTTTGTATATATTGTTTGTTCGGCAAATTATTGTGTTTCATTTGTTTGTTCGAAAAATTATGTATGATGGATTTGGTTGTGAGCAGGTATATTTTTTTGTTGTGAACAGGTGTATTTTTTGGTTGTGTACAGGTGTTTTTTTTTGTAATTTTTAATACAAAAAACGTATTTATTAAATACGTTTTCTATTCTATTCTTTTTAATACAAAAACGTAATTCGTAAATACGTTTTCTGTTGGCATTAAAATTAGGGCAAATATATGTAATTTGGGGCAAAATTACACAGAAAAACGTATTTAACAAATACGTTTTATGTTCTAAATTTGTTTCCCAAATTAAATTATTTTCACGAAATGAAAATATTGATTTTATTTATAAAACATATTTCTTACATACGTTTTATAATTAAAAAAATAATATTAAATTAATTTTAATATAAAAACGTATTTCTTTAATACGTGTCGTAAATTTTTAATATAAGACGTATTTGGAAAATACATTTCTTTATAGTTTAATTATGCTAATTACGTTATTTAACCTTAATAATATTTCTTTATTGAGCACGTATTAACTAAATACGTTTTATAATAAAAACCGTATTTACTGAACACGGTTTATAAAAGAAAACGTATTTAGTGAATACGGGCTTTCTATTTTGGTCGACTTTTTTCTTTTTTTTTGTCCACTTCATTTTTTTTTTATTTTTTGTTAGTAAAAAATTCCNTTAATAATTATTATCCACAATTTTGTAAAGAAGCTGGTTTTCGGTAGGCTTTATTACTCAAAAACTCCAGTCGATCCCCTGAAGCCCCAAACAATTCGAATTCCCACATTTCGACCTTTTTCAGCGCGTTGCTTGCATTTGTTCAACCCACGAAATTTCCACGACGCGTTGATCAAATTCTGGAATGGGAAACCCCGGCACCTTACATCCATCCATGTTTAATTAGACCCCGTCTCAAATTTTCATCCAGAGTAGATTCTGTTGCAGAAGAAATATGGCTAGGGTATACGATAATTGGGAGAGGCTGGTGCGGTCGGCGCTTCGGAGTGAACAGCGGGCGGGTCACGAGCGGACCCCTAGCGGGATTGCCGGTTCCGTTCCTGATTCGCTTCAGCGGACGACAAACATCAATGCAATTTTGCAAGCTGCCGATGAGATTCAATCGGAGGACCCTAATGTTGCGCGGATACGTAAGTAAAAAGCTTTAATTGCATTCCACTTTCATTTTCTGCTTTCTTCTTGTACACTAAAAGAAGGATACTTGTTGTGATAGATCGTTTATTTGGCACTTGAAAGAAACCAGCAGGCGAGCATAGGATTAGGGATTTCAATTCGCGGAAGCTTATATAGTTCCCTTCACTGTAAAGGATTTAGTTATAAAGTTAGTTTGAGAAAGATTTTTGAGTGTTGTAAAGGATGAATGTTAGGGGAAGCTTTGTTACCGAAAGTGTTCTATCAATATTTCCCTGGGAAATATGTGGAATGAAAAATGTATTTGGATGGGCAATTTCTAAAGTTTGAACCACACAAAATTTAGGTTAACGTTTTCGAAATACATTACACTTATTTGTGTATTTGTTTCCTTTGTTGAACTCTCAACTACTGCTGTTTCCTATTTTATGAGAAACTTGGTGTAGGGAGAATCATAGTTTTAAATGAAGAATGGCGAGGCGAGGCGATTCGCCATGGCGAGGCCTCGGCAACACAAGCCATCAAAGCTTAAAAAATATATTTATATAGATAGTAATATCATATATTAAGTTTAAGTGCCCAAAATAACCTTAAATATCCTCAAAGAAAATAATATAAATTAAATTTAATTGTAATTACTAAAAGCATCTAAAATTTAAATGTGAATACTAGTAACATTACAAAAAATATTGAATTTACACTGTGTAGTAACATAAAATAGAAAGATGTTGAAGAGGGTAAATAAAAAGTGTGGTAAAAGTAAATGAAGAAAAAAATGAAGAAAGGAGAAAAAGAGAGACGGCAGAAACGGGAAACAGGAAAACAGAGAAAAGGGAGAAGGAAAAGAAAGGAAAAGGCATTCATCACCGATGTCTTGGCGGCGAGATGGTGGTCGGAGTTCAGAGTAGGCCGGAAATGGATGGGTTGGCCGTGGGTTTCTGCAATTTTCAAATCGAGAAGCCTACCTAGGAAGTTCTTTCGCAGAAACCCTAGTTTGGGGAGAAGCCATTTAGGGATTTTTCACTGAAGTTTTTTTGCTTTCATATTCTCAGTCTAAAACCGTAGTTTTCGGTTCGTGGGTCTGGGAGATGAAGTAGATGAAGTGAAGAAAGAGCCCGATCTGTTTTAATTTTATGCTCTTTTTTTTTTTGAAATAAAAATGGGCTGCGCCATTAATTCCTCTGAAAGGTGCCGAGGCGCGCCTCACAGGCGCCTCTCGCTACGCGAAAAGGCGAGCCGAGGCGACCTGAAGCGAGCGCCTCGCGAATAGGGTCGCCTCAGGCTCAGGCAGTAGCGAGGCGATGTGGCCCTCGCCTCGCCTCGCCTCGAGGCGTCGCCATTTTAAACTATGGGGAGAATAGTTTTGATATCATAGTTTAGGTTTTGGAAATAGTGTGTTTACACATTTTCATAAAATATTTCTTGTAAGTATCCCAACCCACACGTCTTGTTTTGTTGGGTATTAAAATGCTTGGGAAATGAATTCAAACTGCCTAACCAATGCGTGATACTAGATTAATCTTGTATCTGCGTTAACATTTAAGTCTCTGATAGTGAGAGACTGAGATTGTGTTGATTTTGACAAAATTTTAAGCAAAGATGGAAGCTGGAAATTCTGGAGGTTTCATCTCTCATCTTGACTAACTTGTATCAAGAAATGGAGGCTATATTTTGAAGAGTTATCCTGATTTCTTGTAGAGACGCAAATAGATTGATTATATTAAAGTAACTCGGTATGTTGCCAATAGAAAAATTGTGGGATGGGCTGATATTACTAGTATACTTGGAGAATTGCTAAATGTAATGTGTGGATGGGTAGGCTCTGCTTGTTTAGGCAGCTCTCCATTTCAGTTTCTTGTTTTAACTCTCTGTTGTTTAGCTTGGCATCTGTTTCACTTAAATTCTTTTTAGCTGACATATTATGGATGTGTGCCTTTTTTGTTTAGGCATTCTCTGGAAATTGATGATTTGATTGTTGAACTGAAAATTAACTGTTATTTATTCCTTGATAAAAAATCTAATTGGTGTGTTTCTTTTGATCAAGTATGTGAGCAGGCGTATAGTATGGCTCAAAATTTGGACCCGAACAGCGATGGTAGAGGTGTTCTTCAGTTTAAGACTGGTTTAATGTCTGTAATCAAGGTACACTAACAGGTTACCTTTCACTTATCTTTTTTTTTTTCTAAAAAATTTTTGATCGGTCCGTTCAAATACATTTATCTGCTACCCAAGATGGACTGGGGCTGATCTCGGGGAATATATGTTTCCACTTTCTCGAACTTGATATGGAATAATGAATAAAAAATGAAATTCAGATCTGATTTATATTAGCCAAAAGTTCACTTACAAGAAAGAATAATATCCTTGTATCTGGCATTGACTTACGCAAAAATAAAAGGCCGATAAAACTTTTCTTTTTGGTATGCTAGTTACTTTGTTAACCATGTTTCTTGAGTTCAAATTTCATATTAGGCAAAAAATTGCACCTGACAGAACCATCCTTTTTTTTATCCTTTTTTTTTTTTATTTAAATTGTGAATCTGTCATAACCCTTTTTTTCTTGGCAATTCATTACACAACCTTTTTTATTTTTGCAAAACGAAGCATGGGAATGCCGGATAATTTTTCAAAAATTACAAATAAATCCAAATTTATTTCGAATTCCCTCCAACACACCTAAATTACACTTATAAAAAAGGGGAAAAAAAAGGAAAAGTACGCCCAACTTATACGCACAAATTTGATTCACACACAAATATCACTGAATCGGTACACGCAAAATATATATTCTTACACTCACAGATTCACACACACAGACAAAAATACTACACACACAAACTTGCTCGCACTCTCACACAAACTCATGATTTTGAGTGCCTAGGCCTTGGGTTGGGTACAGGAGGTATCATTGGGTGAAGGCTGTCTAATATATCTTGGGATTTTGGATTTGATTTGAATTTGGGTATGCTGGTTAAATGGTGACATTGGTGATGCTTTGAAAAAATGGTCCACTTTCAAGAGTTTCTGGATTTGATTATTTGGTTTATGTGTTCGTCCATGTGTGTAAAACTTTTTTGTAATTACTTTAATGTGTTTATGAGCGTGTGTGTGTAATTTTATTTGTTTGCTGCGTGTGTTTATGCTTCTATATTTTTCTTGCCAGTGCGTAAGTGTGTGTTTTTTGTAGATTTTAACTTTTCATTTTTCTTTTTGTAATTTGGAGTGTTTGAAAGTGAATTTGATATACTTATTTGTAATTTCTGAAAAATTATCTGGCATTTACTTCATTTTCCGGAGACCTGTAAGGAGTTCATGCTTTTTTTTTTTGCAAAAATAATATTGCCAAGAAAAAGGGTCATGATAGATTTGAAGTTTTTGAAAAAGTGGTGCTGTCAGGTGTAATTTGTCTATATTAATGCTTCTGTACTTTTCTTTCAAGTAGTGAAAATTTTCCTTGCGCTTCTGTTGCTGCAGCAAAAACTTGCCAAAAAGGATGGTGGGCAAATAGATCGAAACCGTGATATTGAGCGCTTGTGGGAATTTTATAATCAGTATAAAAATCGCCACAAATTGGATGACATCCAGAGAGAGGAACAGAAATGGCGTGAAACTGGGACTTTTAGTGCTAATCTTGGAGAGTATGTTTTTCATTGCTGATTTTATAACTGTTCCTCAGTGTTGCAGTTCCATTTTAGTTGAGGCTTTCATTTATATGTGAGTGTGATGCATATTGTTTATATAGCCATACGTGTATTGGTGCTCTGCACATACATACCACTAACAGTGCATGAGCAGATAGTTTTGAAGGCTCTTTTACGGTTGTATAGGGTATTTTTATGCGTAAAATATTTGATATTTTTGTGCTACATGACTTCTCGCTTTGTTTAAGTAACCTGACCTATAATTAGTTATATTAAATATTTCTATATTTTCTTTTTAATTGACGATCATCCTCTGTTTTTTGAATTTTTAAGCATGTTTCTCTCCTGCCTATAACTCGGTCCCCGTTTGGGTCTTCACGTTGATAGCTAGGTTCACATTTAATGATGTTTAGGAGGTGATAAGGTGAGGTGTGGTGAGAAAACTTATCTGGAAGATTCCATTATTATCTCTTCTCGCGAATCGCCATTGGATTATACTTCTCGTTTACATCAACCTAATCCTTTGCTCTCTTCTTGTTCTTCAGTGCTTGTCCTTATAACAGAGTTAACATTTTCTTCTAATTTAGGAGTTTCTGAGATGTGTGAACTTAGTCTCATTGTGGGTACAGAATGCTGGAGGGCTTTTGGAATATTAGGTGGGATTTAAAAATTCAGGCCATTTCACGTGCAAAACATTATATAATTCGTTCTTTTCACAAGATGTCCCCCCTCATTTTCTTCAATTTGAAGCTATATGTAAGTTTCTGTTACCGACGAAAGTCCAAACGGTTTCTTGGTTGGTGGCATGGGATAAACTTCTTACTTACGATGTGTTACATGCAAAGAATATATATGGTTGGTGTAGTTTAGAGCAGTGTTATTAATGGTATGGCGGATGGCGGTTTGCCAAAATTCCGCCACATGGCGGCCGCCGTGGCGGCCTATGGTGCTGCCATGACCGCCATCCTTCACTAATTTTGCATGGCGGATTGTCAAAAATCCGCCACGCCATACAGCCATGGCTGCCATTTGATAACACTGGTTTAGAGAGTCAGGATCACTTTTCTTGCAATGACCATATGAAGTTGCTCTCGGCCTCTAGAGCTTGGCCTTGTCTGGGTGCTTGTGCATCCACATCCGCGTGCCGATATTTTCACTGTTTAAGGTGGTATTTAGGACATCAATGCAAGATCTTACGGCGGATGGTTGTTTGTCCTTTATTGTTGGTTGATTGGGTTGGAGAGGAAGATAAGGATTTTTTATGATAATGAAAAATGTCATAGATGTTTGGAATGGAATCTTTCCTACGATTGCATTATGGGTCCTTAAGCATTAAGGCTCTACCGCTCTAGGCACTTTTTCACCTTTGATAGTTTTGGAGATTTCGGAATAGCATTTTGATGATTGTATCTTGTTTTCTTTTAGAGTGGGTTATTTATCCACTGGTTTTAAATTTGATGAGTCACTGTTCTGTTTCTTATGACTAATTGCTCTTTTCCCTGCCTTCCAGCTTTTCTCCACCTTTCTTGATAAAATGGGAATAAGTTATATTTGTCACATATATTTCTGATTTTGATTGTGTGATACAAGAATAATCTTTGTGTCGGCATTTTCTTGTGGTTTTCAGTATTTTCCAAGGCTATTCATGCTGTTGGTTCATTATTTTGTTCTTACTTAGATAGATGCTTTTGACTATACAAATGACCTTATTAGTTTGCTTTTGCCTGTTATATCTTTTTAGCTTGCAATATAGATTCTCAGAAATGAAGAGGGTGTTTGCCACGTTGAGGGCTTTGATTGAGGTAATGGAGGCACTTAGTAAAGATGCAGCCCAAGATGGGGTGGGAAGGCTCATTAAAGAAGAGGTGCTTGAAAATCAGCCTTCTTTATCATGTTCTTTGCATATGCAAAACTGAAATTCTGTTTCTGTTTATAGTACAATATTTCTCTTGTTATCAGTTTAATGATACTTCTGTTCTAGGTATGATATACAGCAGATTGGTCAATAATACCACTGTTGAAACATTCATAGGGATGATTTTTTGCGTTTGTTGTTTCAGTTAAGAAGGATTAAAAAGTCCAATGCAACTATGTCGGGTGAGCTCGTACCTTACAACATTGTCCCTCTGGAAGCACCATCGTTAACCAATGCAATTGGATACTTTCCAGAAGTAAGTATATGTGATTTGCATAGAGATATTTAACAAGAACATCTATGGAGATCTATGTACTTGGGTAAAAAGTTGATATCTGAAGCTGAGCATTGCGTTTCTTTAAGATGGGATTCTATTTATATTATGGATTTCTTTAAGCATTCCAGTTTTTACTTACTTTTTTCCCTTTTTAAATTACATGGTAAATTGTGCATTGGCTCTTAGCTGCTTTAAAATGATTTGTTCTAGATTTCTTATAAAGCTAGTAACTAATTCCCCATGCAGGTTAGGGGTGCAATATCTGCAATAAGATATACTGAGCAGTTTCCCCGGCTTCCAGCTGATTTTGAAATTTCGGGACAGCGAAGCTTGGACATGTTTGACCTTTTGGAATATGTGTTTGGTTTTCAGGTTCTTCTTTTTCCTTTATTTTTATCAGTTTTTCTTCAGCTTCTTTCGTCTTCTGAGTAAAATATACTAGTTTTATATGGGAAGAAGTTATCTTCTTTGTCAGCTTTATGCCACTTTAGATCTATTTCCTGTTTTATGGACAAAAGAGAAGTTTTTGAGTGGAAGTTGGCTAGTTCTTTAAGTGTTTGCAATATTGTCCAGGTGCATGTGGCTAGGTTCATGATAAACTATTTCCGAATATGGCCCCTAAAAATTTGATTTTTATTGTCTACTTTCTTTCTTTGTGAATTAAGTCTTTGCTCTTGCCTGTTACAGAAAGACAATATAAGGAACCAACGTGAGCATGTTGTTCTCACCCTAGCCAATGCACAGTCACGACTTGGCATCCCAGTTGAGGCTGACCCAGTGAGTGGCCAAATAGATTTACTTGGATAAAGGTATATATAGAAGAGAAACTGCCCCAATATATATTGCTAATTACTTTACTTTTCTCAGAAACTAGATGAAAGAGCTGTGAGAGAGGTCTTCTTGAAGGTCCTGGATAACTACATCAAGTGGTGTAGATATCTGCGTATACGCGTTGTTTGGAATAGGTTGTTACTAGCAACACCCTTCTCTCTTTTTAGCAACAAATGATAGACTAACTTTCTTTTCAATTTGTTATGTATAGTTTGGAGGCCATAAACAAGGAGAGAAAGCTTTTCCTAGTTTCATTGTACTTCTGCATATGGGGTGAAGCTGCGAATGTTCGCTTTCTTCCTGAATGCATCTGCTATATATTCCATCATGTATGTCTTTTCTGCTTGTTCATAGTATACTTAATTGATTGTCTGTCTACCAACTAGTTTATGTTTTTGTGGAAGCGTAGGTCTTGATTTCTCTTAAATATATTGGACAACATAAATTTATACCCCATTATGTTCTTTGTAGAAGTATAAGAAAGTTCATGTTGAGCAGTTGGGTAGTTGGGTATTTTGTTACTGGCCATTTGTCCGTTTAAAATGTATATTTGTTCAAACTATACTGTATTTTTTACATTATCTGTGTACTACATGGGTGCTAATTAATAATAGGAGTTTTTTCAGTCCAAGACCCAAAAGATAGGTTAATTATCAAATTGGGGCCTAAAAGTTTTTTTTTTCTCAATATGGGACCTAAAAGTTATAAAACTATCGATATAAGTCCTAAAATTAACAGCAATTTAACCTCCAATTAACACACTGTTAATTTTGAGTTTTAAAACACGCAAATGGCCAAATCTACAAAGTACAAATGTTAAAAGAAAAATAAAAACAACAAAATAAAAAAGAAAGGAAACGAAACTGACAAAAAAACTTGAACAATATTAGCCATAACAAAAAAAAAACCGAAAGAAAAAAATAAATAAAAAAAGGTGATTTTGCATTATAGTTTCATTTGGCCATGGCCGCTTAACAAGAACCATCATCTTCGAACGGGCCCGTTGCATTTATCTGGTTTTATTTTTTTTCCTTTTTTTTTTTTAATTCTAAAATTAACGGTGTTATGGTTTCGGTTAGTTTTAAGACTAATATTGATAGTTTTACAAGATTCAAGTCCCAAATTGAGAAAACAAATTTTTTAGGCCCCGAATTGATAGTTAACCTATCTTTCGAGTCTTGTATTGAAAAAACTCCTTAATAATATTATACTACTTTCGGAAAAATTAAAAAGAAAGCTTTTGTTTTAAGTTTCAAATGCTTCATAAAAAAGTGGCACTATTATTTTGCCAAAAAATGGTTCTTCTTCGTGTATATTTCAGCTGTGAGCATGAAATCTGATGCTGGTCTGCTAAGGTCTGTCATTCCGTTTGTATAAAATCAAAATCAAAATGTTTTTATCAGATGAAGCTGTCAATGCGTTTCATGTGTTTTGCTTTGGCTAAGATTTTTTTTAGTGCACGGGGAAGTTATAAAATGTTTTGTTGACTTTGTATAAGATGTTATAAAATGACTTCTAAACTTTTTCTGAGTATGCCTTCTAGTTTCCCTCTGTCTTTATTGACATTGCTTATTCAGATGGCTAGGGAGTTAGATGGAATCCTGGATCATGGGGTGGCGACTCCTGTTGCAAATTATATAAATGAAAATGGTTCTGTGTCCTTTCTTGAGCAAATCATATCTCCCATATATGAGACGTTGGCAGCAGTGAGTGCATTTTTGGCTATTTTCTTTTTTCGTTACTCATATGCGGTTCGGTTAACAAGTGAGACACTGGACATNTATATTTGAGTTATTGGGTTGGAAGTGTTCTTTGCTTCTTTAGTCCTTTATGGTTGATGGAGTTGTCAATTATTTAACTTTATTGGCCTAGACTTCACGGTAAATTATATTCTACCGGATTGTTTCATGAAATTATCTAAGGCTATGTTCCGTACATTTCCTCCGAAAGCGACTCCATCCCAAAAGATATCCCATTGACAAAGAAACACTACTTTTGCACTTTGCTATGTATTTCTAATGCTAAAGCATACCCCCAAAAGTTTCCTAGACTTCCCTTATTACTCCAATCACCAACCAAACAAAGCTTAAACAATTTCCCCGTCACATAATTCATTTGTTTTCTGCTTATGGTCCACATTTTCAACTTTCTCTGCAGGAAGCAATCAGAAACAATAGTGGGAAAGCTGCGCACTCAGAATGGAGAAATTATGATGACTTCAATGAATATTTCTGGTTTGTACTTCTGTTTAAGTATTCCAAGTGCGGCGTGGAATCGTTGATGCATTTAAACCTCTAAACTGTCATCCTGTAGGTCACCTGCTTGCTTTGAGTTGAGTTGGCCTATGAAGAAGGATTCACCATTTTTGTTGAAACCGAAGCCTAAAAGAGGAAAACGGGTTTGCCTTTGATTATTATTCGTCCCATCCTCTCCTTTGATTTTTTGTTAATATAAATGACTATATTTTCCTTTATTGTTCAGTATATCCTAATTCTGTTTGTGTCTCTAAACAGACGGCTAAAAGCTCATTTGTGGAGCATCGAACGTTCCTTCACCTGTATCGAAGTTTTCATCGTTTGTGGATCTTTTTGATTGTAATGTTTCAGGTAAATTGTACTATCAACGTATTTGATTTTGCTAGTATTCAGTCCATATCTTCTTTTCTTACTCCTTTCTGTTATTGCAGGCTCTTGCTATTATTGCTTTCCATGATGGGAACCTTAACCTTAATACCTTCAAAACACTGCTTAGCATCGGCCCAACATTTGCTGTCATGAATTTTCTGGAAAGTAAGTTGTTGGATACTGTGATGTTTGTCTCTGTTACCGTGATTTACTAGAACTGATCCTGTACTTCTGTAGTTCGCCTTCCTTTTTCCTTCATTTAGCTTGTTTTTTGTTAAATAGGTTGTTTAGATGTGGTACTCATGTTTGGGGCTTATACTACCGCTCGAGGGATGGCTATATCAAGGCTTGTTATTAGGTTCTTTTGGTGCGCGTTGAGCTCTGTGTTCGTGCTCTATGTCTACTTGTGAGTGTATACTCATCAGCTACCACTACCGTAATTTTACAGCTCATGTTAGTTGCTCATGTAATATTAAAATGATTTCAGGAAACTTGAGGAGGAAAGGAATAGGAGTATCTCAGATTCATTCTATTTCCGGATTTATGTCCTCGTATTGGGCGTATATGCTGGTGTGCGTGTGCTTTTTGCTCTGCTGCTCAAATTCCCTTCGTGTCACAGGCTGTCGGAAATGTCTGATCAGTCGTTTTTCCAGTTTTTCAAATGGATTTATGAGGTACCAGTGCCAATTAAAATGGTTGAGATGGTGGATTTGACTCCATATTTCTAGAGAAATCTGGAAGTAGCTTTTACCAACATACTTTTCTCTGTCACTAAGTGCTGTGATTACTTCCAGGAACGCTATTTTGTTGGCCGTGGACTTGTTGAAAAAACTACCGATTATATGAGGTTTGGCCTTATTTCCCTTGTGATTTAGCACTGTCCTTGCAATTGGGATCCTATTACTGAACTCAATTCTTTTCATAGTAGTATACTTTCCGATAGAAAGTCCCTCATTTTGGTGACTAATTTCTCTTGTAATTGACGCACTTAGGGTTATATGGTCACTTTATGGTGAAAAGACTGATTGTTTGCATAATGAAACGCCTTAAACTCTTATCCTGCTCCAGTTATATGATGTCAAAACAGCCTCACTAGTTGACATCCACAAATTTGGTCAAGTTTTGGGGCCTTTACTTCATTTGGTTCCCGGTGCTTCCGAGATAGCTAATCTCTTTCTTTGTCATATTGAGATCAGCTTGTTGTGCTTATAATCAACTTTTGAGGCGATGCCACCAAGCAAATGAATATTAAATGATAGTTTCTCATTGCAGACTCTTACTTTAACATCATGCTAATGACAAAAGAAATCATGACTAATATGCTTCTTGTTATCTCTAGTGGTTCTTAGAGAGGTTAAGGAAATCCTTCAAAACCACATCTATAGTAACTATTCCGGCAGTTCAGAAAGTGGCCAGAATAGAGGCTGAAACACATGCTTTTAGTTAAACATCCCAGGTTTTTGTTATACTCTTCACACGTCAGCATCTTTGGACAAGCTAATCCTTGTGTTATTCACATTTTTTTTTGCTTTATTTTTGTTCAGCATCAAACTTGTGAAAGCACATTCTGATTGAAGGACTTAGATATGGGTAAAACTAAAGGACTTGAGGGAAGAATTTCATATACCTCCATCTATAAAGGATTGAAATCCTCCAAACTGACGATTCTGTTTCAACAATTTCACTGAATTTCTTATTGTAGTGTAAAATTATTGAAGAAAATTTTCTGAAAGCTGGAGTGACGTTATAGCCTTGTTTTGAAAAACTTCAAGATAAAAAAAATCCTTAAACTAAACATTTTAAATTACTCAAAAAAGGATGCCAAACAATCATCTTTAAGTTTACATGACATTATATTATTTCATAGCAATCTTTAAGGAAATCAATTTGTTATTTGCCAGTTGCAGTCTTTAGAATGCAACTGGTCATTGGCTAATGAAGCAATGGAGCTGGCCTAGTCTTGTAAATTAGACTTTTGTTTGAACCAGGACTTATTCTCTTGTGAGGCTATCCTGGGATTTTTCGGAGCTTTCTCTAACATATTTTGAATGTTAATATGCTACTGGGTTTGAGACACAAGGTTCAGCCATTATTGTGAATTTGCTTTCTTTTCTTCTTCTTTTTTTGTTCGTATTATTGTTATTACTATAACTATTATTGTTGTGGATGCTTGATATATGGTGGTTAAAGGTGATTGAAGATGGTTGACTGCATGCAATTTTGAGGCGTTGCCTTTTATTATTCTTCATAATTACACGATTGAAATGAGGACTGTGTTGGATGTGCCTTGTGCCTAGTTTTGGTTTACTATATTCATTTACTCATTTAATGATTTTGCAACTAATTTTCTAATATGCAGCTACGTGTTTTTCTGGCTGGTGATCTTTGCTTGCAAATTCCCCTTTGCATACTTTCTACATTTTTGGTTTACTATATTCATTTACTCATTTAATGATTTTGCAACCAATTTTCCAATATGCAGCTACGTGTTTTTCTGGCTGGTGATCTTTGCTTGCAAATTCCCCTTTGCATACTTTCTACAGGCAAGCCGTTCTACAAATCTCGTTGGAATTTAGGTTATCACTGGGATAGGGTTTGTTTTATCTTGTTGGAACTCAGGCTGAATAATTGGAATAACAGATTAGGCCGCTTGTCCAGCCAACTAGGATAATCATAAATCTACCGCGGCTTCAGTATTCATGGCATGATTTGATATCAAAGAGTACGTTGTTTTTTTTTTTTCTTCTTTTCTCAGTTAGCTTCCCCCTCATTGATTTGATGGAGATAACATGACTGACGAAGTAAAGAAATGTTTCCTTTGGCATTCTATTCTCTCCTTGTTTAAACTAAATTGCAAGGAGTGGAATTTGTTGTTAACAATTAATTAGTTTTGTGACCTTAAAAGAGACTCTCAGATTAGGTTGGACTAAGTCTTTATCTTCACTCATAAGTAATATTATTATTTTGGTAATTCATTGTTGAATAATCGTACCTATTCTGTTGGGAAAGAATCTGATTTGTTCTTATTTGATCGTTGCTGCAGATAATAATAATGCACTGACAGTAGCTAGTTTGTGGGCACCTGTTGTTGCTGTGAGTATATTCATTATTCTTCATGTGCACGATGTTTAGTTGGTAAATTGTTTGAATAATTTGTAAAACAAACCATGTGACATATGCATCACACAGCATTGGATGAGGAAAGAATTCACTAATTTTACAAGGTTTTCTCACTTCATTTCTGTTGTATTTGGGATTAATCTATACTATTCGCCATTCTGTATTTTTTTTATTTTATTTTATTACTTTGTTTTAATAATTCCCTGGTCCAAAGTACTCCATGCCTATGTCTGTTCGTGTTTTGTTTTCCTTTGTGTTTGAATTGTGATATATGTGATAATATCTCGTACTTGTAATTTGTGGTTATTCACGCTTTTCGGCCCACCACCACTGAATTACAGATTTATATTATGGATATTCACATTTGGTATACCCTACTCTCTGCAATATATGGTGCTGTAATGGGAGCCAGGGCTCGCTTAGGGGAGGTATTGATCTCGTTCTGTGCCACCCTTTGTATTTACACGTTGAATATACTTTATTTGTGCAAAGTAGTTCGTTGGTGTTCATATATATTGGACATTTTATGTGTTAACAGTTATTTCATATAGTTCTTTGGTATTCCATTTGCAGATTCGATCAATTGAAATGGTTCATAAGCGGTTTGAAAGTTTTCCGGAGGCCTTTGTAAAAAATCTTGTGTCTCCGCAGATCAAAAGGTAACTATAATGCATAACATTAAGTCCTTTATCACTGAACTGCATGTTTGAATGATCTTTTCAATTGACGTTTCACTCATTTGATGTTTTAGGATGCCATTTGACAGACAATTATCACAGGTCAGTTTCCAATGTAACTTATTTTTACTTATAGCAGTTAGTTGTGAATTTGCTGTATGATTATATCATAGTTATAGTATATACTTGATTTTCACCTTTTGCCTTCCAACAACTTCTCACTCTAAGGACCACAGTGACATTTTCCCTATATGAATTGTCTAGGTCCCACCATTCATAGATGGGGCAAGTTATCTTGATTTAGCATGAGAAAAGGGATTGAAAGAGTTCTTTTATGATGAGTAGTACGTTTATTGGATCTTCATATATTGATTAAATTTAGCCGCGAAAGTTATTTTCCTAATGTTAATGTTCTGTGTTTTTGTTTAAGTATACCAGTAGTCCGATTTTCGCATGTGAGGGATCAGCGTTTATAAGACTTTTGTCTATCTATCTTTAGTTTCATTGGTTGCTGAAATCACAATTATCGCAATTTTTAAATTTAACTAAACCATGGCAGTGTAATGTGTACCTTTCATTCAAATGCATATAGTATTTTGAAGTGCTCGGCAGGTTTACATGAATATTAATTCACTAAGACAAATACTGCTGAATACTGACGTATCTTGGCAGTCACATTCTTAAGATTGCACTAACTCGCATTCTCAGTTTCTTTATGCTAAGCGAAGATGGCTGATCATGACTTGATTGCCTTGGGAATAGTATATATAACATATGTACAGTAAAATGACGGATAAATTAGTACTGAATTGTTTGCTTGGGCTGACATAGGGAACTGGATAGTGAATTGCTTTGATCTTATGTGTTACCCCTTTATGAACCATGCTTAAGCTCGATCAGTTCTGAAAATTCATGAAAACAATGAGTAAATGGATCAATGGAAATTGAGTTCTCTTTTTAAAGGAATGAAGTTTGAGAAACTGGTGTTGATAAATGATAACCAATGACCAGTGGAGGACCAAGAGTTGTTGAAGAATGTTTCTCTATTGAGGTTGCATAATAGAATTTGAAGAGCTGAGGCATTCGCCAACTAATGAAAGTGCCTCTAAGACAGTGACACTTTGCAGATAATTAGTAATATAGATCAATAACTTTCATGAAATTTAGGCATCATCTTAAGAATTGAAATTGCATCATGCTCTGAGGCTATCTCGATCGACTGATTATACAACTCTGTCAGTTACTCAGGTTATGCCCTCTTGTGCTCCAGACAGTATTTGTTGGTTCGCACTGCGAGATATCAGTCTTTGTTTTGTGTACATGACCTCCGTTGGTCGACTCCAATATTCTGTTTCTGCTAGATTTAGCTTTCTCTGCTGTTGTCATAAAAGTAAAAAGGAGATTGCTCTTCTGACTAAACTGAACTTCTAAAACTCTAAAACCTTACAAAAATAGAAAATTAGACTCACAGTTGACCTGACTCACCAATTTATGTAACTTCAAGATATTGTCACACTTAATTGAAGCTTTAGAACTTCTAGGACAATTTGGAATGTTTGGAAGTGAAAATGATGGTCCTTGTTCTTGAGGTTTGAGTTAGAGGAGCTTTTCTTTTCATGCATAACTTATAATAAATTCTTTTATGTGGTTCATCTGCATCTGACGCGATATATTAGATGTTAGTGGTTCGAGAAGGACATTGAGCTAAGTTTTTATAACCCAGCCTTCATCTGAATGAGGCTAGGTGTTAAGTTATATTCAAGGAAATTAAAAATGTAGACTAATTGATATCAGCTTGATATGAATTATGAGTTATGCTGTGGTGTGTTGCCATCGATACTTTTTCAGTGCTTAGTATATATCAGCATGTTTGTCTTTATATGGGTTGGCAATGTGTTGGCTTTTGTATTCTTCAATTATTGCTGAACACTTTCTGCTTCTTACTGTGTATCTGTCTCTGGTCCAGTCTTCCCATGATAATAACAAGACCTACGCAGCCATATTTTCCCCATTTTGGAATGAAATTATCAAAAGTTTGCGGGAAGAAGATTATATCAGTAACAGGCAAGTATTGATTGTCATAGTATTCCTTTCTGATAACCTCAATCATTGACTGTTACGCACACATATTTATGTATGTGTACATACTTCAGGGAGATGGACTTACTCTCAATGCCGAGCAACACTGGAAGTTTAAAATTGGTTCAGTGGCCACTTTTTCTTCTAAGCAGTAAGGTGCACCCTTCTTAAGTTTCTTGCCTTCAGCCTTATCTTAATACCATATTTGCTCAAATATTTCTTTTAGGTTTATCAATAATCAATACGACATCATTGTTCGCTTCAGATCTTATTAGCAGTTGATTTAGCACTGGACTGCAAAGACACACAATCTGATCTTTGGAGTAGAATATGCAAGGATGAGTACATGGCATATGCTGTTCAGGAGTGTTATTCAAGTATTGAAAAGATTTTGCATTCCCTCGTTGATGGAGAAGGAAGACTTTGGTACAATGCCATCAATTTTAGGAAAAGAGAGTTTTATAGTTGCCATTTGGTTAATAAATATCAACCTTTTTTTTTTTTTTTTTTTTTCTTCTGGCAGGGTTGAAAGGATATTTCGTGAGATCAACAGCAGTATATCAGAAGGATCACTTGTTATTACTTTGTCTCTGAAAAAGCTTCCAGTGGTTCTCTCCAGATTTACTGCCTTGACTGGGCTGCTGGTATTTCTTTTTCCCTTTGAGTCAAAAGTTGTACCATTAGGAATAGATACTGTTCTGTAATATTTGGATATTTTCTTTGAGGAGCATGGATATTTGAACTGTGCCTGATTTGTCCATTGCAAATGGAGCTCGAAGAGTCATTGTTGACAATTCTCCTGGCATAGTGCTAATAATGGACTAGATCAAAATGGCTCAATTAAATTCTAGTGCTTCTTCTATTAGTAAAGTTTCTAGAAAAAAAATATATCAAACGGCGCAATGCACCTTGGGTCGCTACGGAAACAGCCTCCTTGTATAATTACAAGGGTAAGGTCTGCGTACAATTGACCCCCCAGACCCCAACCTGTTGGGAATATGCTGGGTATGTTGTTGGCTATTGGGCAATTTATTCTTGCTTGGCTGAGATTTATTCGTGGTGGAAAAGTTTAATACTCTGGTCATCCCTTTCCTGGTGGAAAAGTTTCATGCTTACTGTTCATCCCTATTATTATGTCATCAATAATATTACATATTTTGTCTTTTCAATTATTTATTCCTGACTTTATTGATGTGTCTGCATCAACTTCTGCTAGTGGAAGTAACCTCCTCCACAAGGCTGAGGATTTTCTCTTTACCTGTTCCTTGGTTGTGTTCAAGTTTACTGTTGCTAATGATTTGAAAATAATTTAGTTTTCCGTCATTTCAAATTTCTTTCTTCCTTCCTTCCTTCTATTTCCCAAATTTTTCTTTATTTGCTGAAAACTATCAATGCTGCCCCAACTTTAAATGTTATCTTCAATCTTATAGGTTTGAACTGTCATTCCATGCTCAATTTTTCTTTAAATGCTTATTCTTGCTACTTGAAATGAATTCATTTATGGGTAACCCCATTTCTATTCTTTCCTTTGCTTGTATGTTAACATTTCAATAATTTATTTACTTTTTCTTTTTATATTTAGATCCGCGACCCTACTCCTGAACTTGCAAAAGGTGCAGCTAAAGCTGTATATGATTTTTATGATGTTGTTACACATGAGCTGCTCTCACGTGATTTGAGGTAAATTATTTTCATATTTTGAATATTCTACCATAATGGCTACTGGCTAATCATTTATTGACATTTTAGCTTGTTACATGAAGTTGACATTGTTTTCCTCAGGGATCAACTTGATACTTGGCATATATTGCTGAGGGCTAGAAATGAGGGGCGCCTCTTTTCAAGGATAGAATGGCCAAAAGATAGCGATATTGTAAGCTTTCTGAATTTCTTTTCTTTTACTTAATTTTGACATCTCCATGATTATTTTTTTTTTTTTTTTTTTTTCTCANTTTTTTTTTTTTTTTTCTCTCTCTGGTGCAGAAGGAGCAGGTGAAAAGGTTGCACCTACTTCTCACTGTGAAGGACAGTGCTGCTAATATACCCAAGAATCTTGAAGCAAGAAGAAGATTGGAATTTTTCACTAATTCATTGTTTATGGACATGCCACCAGCTAAACCTGTTTGTGAAATGATGCCATTTTGGTATGTTCTTATTTTTCCTATTGTTACAGTATCACTTATGAACATCAGCATAGTCGTGTATTGTATATGTTAGGCTCTTCTGAGTTTGATAACCATCATGTTTTGCCCAATAATTTCCCCTGACTTATTTCCTGCTGTGAATTGGCTTCCAATAGTGTCTTCACGCCGTACTACAGTGAAACAGTGCTTTATAGCAACTCTGAACTGCGGGTTGAAAATGAAGATGGAATCTCAACTCTTTTCTATCTCCAGAAAATATTTCCAGGTAAGTTACTTTTCTGTTGGATTGATCTCAAAGTAAACTGTTATCACATTCCCTTCTGTAATTCATTGGCGTGCTATTTTTGTTTGCAAGTAAATGATGGCATGCTGGATGAACTATGCTTGCTATAATTATTTATATATAATCCTCCTTTAATATCCATGTATGATCTACCTCGGATCGTATTTTTATTGTTTCATATTCTTTTTGGATACTTAGCAACATTTTGTTAAATTTGACCACAAGATCTTATAGGCAATTGTCTGCAATATATCTTAACGTCAGAAAGTTTTCTTTTGCGTTATTTTGAATCAAGATGTTATTTGGTTTGATGAGATAGTGAAGAAGTAATTTCCCACCCACTCAGGTCTCACGACAAAACAAGATAAATGAACTGAAATATTTTTTTGAACTCATTTCAAACAATCAAATGCTCTCTTTCTCTCTAAACTCCTAACAGTTAATGATGGAAGAGAATTTAGTGTGCTTTTGAACAATGTTCTGGAATGAAATGATGAGTATAAATATAACTTCTATTCATGTTATGTTATTTTCATGTGCAATATTTGTAGCACTTGATCATTTGTGTTAAAAGATTTGACTGATGTTACCGGCATTATTCCTATCTGAAATGATCTGTAGTAGATCAGCCAACTCTCAAGCAAATAATGCTAACTACTTGGTAAAATGACATCTTTAACTCTCAGAGACCCCTGGCAGTGGAATTCGTAATTGGCTTTCTGATTTATTTTACAACTCCTGCTTTATGTACTCCAATGCACTGTTCATCATTCTGTATGGTTGTTTCTGGAGACGTAAATAAATTTGTTTCTAAATCAACTTTTCTTAGATGAATGGGAGAACTTTTTGGAACGTATTGGTGAAGGGGATAGTGGTGATGCTGAACTTCAAGAAAGTTCAACTAGTGCTTTGGAACTTCGCTTTTGGGCATCTTACAGAGGGCAGACCTTGGCTAGGACAGGTCTCAGTTTTATTATTTTATTTATTATTTATTATTTTGTGTGGTGTTATCAATGTTGCCTAGTATGAAAAATTCGAGGAATTCGGATGTTGTTTCTTCATATTAACTCATTTTTCTTGCGTTGATTTATGCAGTGCGTGGGATGATGTATTATAGAAAGGCACTGATGCTTCAGAGTCATTTAGAAGGAAGATTTGTAGAAGGTTAATGTTTAATAATCATCTTTTTAATCATGACAAATCATAAGAAATGCTAACGTAAGTGCCTGCTGTGCGCAGAGAATGTCACGCCTACTAGTTTATCAACTCAAGGTTTTGAGTTGTCACGTGAAGCGCGTGCTCAAGCTGATATAAAGTTCACTTATGTTGTTTCCTGCCAAATTTATGGGCAACAAAAGCAGCGGAAAGCTCCAGAGGCAGCTGATATTGCTTTGCTTCTGCAGAGGTTTGATTTTGGACTTGGTGTCTAATTGCCTCTTTGCATGTGACTGTGTGTATATAATTATTGTATTCTTCAACAAGTAAATTTTGCATTGTGAGTACTTTATTATACTAGGAGGTTTTGAGGCATTATATATTTAAATTACTGATGTTATCATGCAAGACTACATACTATGGCTTTACATTGGGTTGTGCAATGCAACTGCTGGAGTTTACATACTGTTCCATGTACAGTAAATATGGCTTTATGAGAAGATGTAACTCACTTACTGGTCTTCAGTTATGCCTCATTCTTTAGAATTTATCCTCATATTGAGATATCTGAAGTGAAAATTCTTTTATCCTTATTTTTATGTTGAGCTTTCATCCCACCATAAAAAAAAAAAATAGATGCAGTATGTTCCCTTTGCACTGGGGTGGCAGTGAGCAGACGTGAGTCTCTTTGTCCCTTTATTTGGTTTTTAGTTTGACGCTCTGGAGTTTGCACAATGGTTAGAGGACATCATATTTTGTGCACTTTTATATTGATGTATTTGGAAGACGAGTTGACAGGTTATCTGATTATTACTCTAGATGACAAATTAGTTTTGGTTTGGTATGAGAATGTCCATTGTGAATTTGAATTTGGGACTTATTCAAAGACAAATCCATGTAGAAAATGGGTGTGGTAAAGTTACAGTAGTAGTTATGCTACAGCAATGTTTTATTATCTTTGTCATCTTGTTAGGTTTCTGGGCCTTTTCTTTTGTAACCTTGTTGAAGAAATTGAAATGTGATATATTTTTCTATGCAATAATTATATTTGTAGTGGCGCTTAGCTCTGGAAGAACTTATGTTTTGTGGTGTTTCTTGTTTACTATTAGAAATGAGGCACTTCGAGTTGCTTTCATTCATGTCGAAGAAAGTGGCGAGGCAGATGGAAAAGTTACGAAGGAATTTTACTCAAAACTTGTTAAAGCTGATGCACATGGGAAGGATCAGGTAATGGATTTGAATCGTCTACCCAATTCCGGTGCCTGTGTACACATATTTAGCATTTTTCATTTTATTTCCTTGTTGAATCTGAATAACTTAGGGGGAAAACCGATTTTGATTGGATTTATTGATTAAAGTGAGTTAATTTTGAATAAAGTTGATTGATGATTAAAGTTGATGTGATGTGAGAGGATGATTGATTGATATTATTTAATTATATTTATAATATTGAGGAGAGTTGAGTTGGATTTTGAATTTAATAGGGTAAAAACTTTATACGCTCAGTCAAAACCGGTTTTAACTTGTAGCCAATTGCGCCCTGATTTACTTTCCTTGTCCATGTTTATTAGTACTTTTCTGCATTCGTAAGAGTCAGTATGATGTGAACTATATATTAAACAAGTGATAATTGCCACATTGTCTCTAAGTTTTCATTCCAGTATCTTATAAAGCTTTTATTTTATTGACAAGGTAAAGAGGAAATAGGTTCTTTTCCGCCTCTGCTTGTGCCACAATATTATCTAAGGTTTCCGACGGTTGAGTGAGAATTATTCATTAAAGTTACTGGGTAATTGTACAATAATGCTGGAGCCGTAGAGTAATTCTATACTCTATCTCATGGGAGGTGGATGTACCTTTTCGCTTCGTGTGTGGCTTTGTGTTTGTGTGGTATTTGCTTTTACCAAAACGCGTTAATTGCTAGAATTAAGAAATAAGTATAACTTTTCATTTCTTTTTATCACATGGTTGACATATTTCTTACTATATATTCCTGGGACCTATTATTGTTCAGAAAAAATCCTAGTTCAGCTATAGGCATATGACCAAGGGGCTCACATTGTCTGACGTAAACCAAGGATAGAATTTAAAAGCTTAAGTGTAATTGAATATACTTTTATTTGAATGAAATCTTTTCATCGGTGAAAGAAGTGCAGTGGAATATTCAATGAATATTGTAATGTAATGTGATGATATAAAGAGTATTAATTAATTGCGATGTGATAGAAATAATGTAAAATAATGATTGGTAGCTATAAATATGTGAGTGGATGAGTAGTAGATTTTGTAGGTAAGTTTGTAGTATGATTGATCTTAAATTTTAAAATTGTTTTGAAAAAAGGTAGTGGAGAAGAGTGAAAAAGGTGAGATGGATTAATATGTTTATTTCTCTCAATTGTATTTTTGTAATTTTTATGTTTGGTAACTTCTATTTATGAGGAATTCTTCAATCTGCATGTGTGCATGTGGTGCTGCAAATGATGGATATCGTGAATGTTTGTGTTGTATATGATAGGCTTTGTTGTATATGATAGGTTTTGCGTTCCTTATCTGCTCATCAATTGATCATGGAATCTTTGTATCAAATTTTGCTGAATTATGGTATGCTTGTTGGTGTCTTCACGCTGAAGTATTTTGGTAGTGAAGCTTTTTTTTTCCTTGTATTTAAGGATCAACTGAAAAGGGATAGACCTACCCTCCGAAAATAACATGAGGTTATATACCTTAAGAGGCATTTTCCATGCGTCCTTATTCCTTAACCATTTGGAAAATTTTCTTTGGAAGTTTTCTCCTGATAGTGTGGAAGGATAATATTTTGGCCTAATATTCCCCTATGCAAGCAGAAAAAAATTTCAACTGATGTTTTTCTTATGTTAGCCCAGCTTTATGCACATGACAAATTTCATGATGATTTGATTTTTACTATTTTAGCTATGTTATTTTCATATTTCTGTGTACCTGTTTGAGTAATTCTTTACTTCCATACTGATGTTTAGGTGCATGCCCGTATCACTAAATGGTTGTTTTCTTTTTTCATTTATCTTGTTGTGGATTTTGAGCCACCTTTTATGTACAGGAAATATTTTCTATTAAACTTCCTGGAGATCCCAAGCTTGGGGAAGGGAAACCTGAAAATCAAAATCATGCTATAATTTTCACTCGTGGAGATGCTGTTCAAACAATTGACATGAATCAGGTAATTTATATGATAGAAGTGGAGCTTCATTTTCTCGTGATACAAAAACTATGTGGACCTTTGATAGTTGCAGAATGTTCTACCTTTTGGAGAGGTGTTAAACCCAAAGGCTGATTGTAGAAGAAATGTTTGACATATTTTACACTCGCTTTGAGGCTTCAGTATTCTGATTACAAATAATGGGGGAATGGGGTACATAAACTAAGAAAGAAAAATCACCATCAGGATCTATATTATATTTAAAGCCACCTTGGTGGGCCCGGAGAGAACATGTTTCTGAAGTTATGCCTCGTGCATTAGCTCGAACTTCCCTAAGGTGTGCCTTGGCTCACAGATGGGTATTAACTTTTAGACACGTTTTGAGAGCAGTGTGTTAGGTCTTTTAGAAAGGAAATATGACTCCCACCTCAAACACCACTTTCTGCAAAAGAACTTCCTAAGCTACTCAGATCTGAAAATTAGAGAAACTGACAGCCGACAATCCCATTTCCAGCCCCCTCTGACCGCCGGCTGCCATCTCGCAGCCGCCAGGACTACCGGTGACACGTGCCTGTTCCTTTCTTTCCTTCTCCGTTTTCTCTGTTTTCCCATTTCCTGCCTCTCTTCTTTTTCCTCTTTCTTCATTTTTTTACTTTATTTGTTTTGCAGTATGGTCAATAGTTCACGGCTGCAAATGCATCCTTTCTTTCATTTACTTTTACTTTACACTTTCTATTTACTTTATTTATTTGTTTTTCTATTTTTTATTGTTACACAGCATAAGTTAAATATTTTTTCTTTCTAATGCTATTAGTATTCACATTTAAACATTGGATGCTTTTAGTAATCACATTTAACTTTATTTTATTTTATTTATTTGAGAATATTTAATGTTATTTATGGCACTTAAATTTAAATATGATATAATTATCTAATACATGAGCAGATGGTAATAAAATTTATAGTGAATTTGAGTTGTAATATTTTATTTTTATTTTAAAGTTTTACTAGTACAGTACCCGTGCGATGCATGGGTTTCCGTCATTTTTAAAAGGCAATTTAGTATTTAAATTCAAATTATGTAATAAAGCACCGATCATTGATTATAATTAAACCTAACAAATACTTATTATAAGATACGTGTAATTATTTATATTAATCATGTTGGACTTGTATAATAGGAATGTTTTTGAAAAATATGGGCTTCAAAAAGTTCATATCGGCTCAATTTACAATGTTGGCTTCGAAAGTTCATATCGACCCAAACAAAATAGAAAAAATAAACCAATGATCCAGATTAGTCAACGCAAATCGACGGTTTAGATTACACTGAACATAGTATAAATAGTGAAATTATCGGACAAATGGCTTCATTTCTTCCTTCATTTTTCGCCGATTCCAGCTTCTTCTTTCGTCTTTTTTCATCGATCTTCTTCCAACGTTTTCGTTCTAACACTGAAGGTCTTATAAATACATATTCTTTTTTAGTTTTCATTTAATCGATGCTTTAAATTAGTTTTTGGTGTTTTGCACGAAACAAAATATGGATTGTTCAATTTGCAGGTTTTTATTTTCGATTTTTGTAGTTTTATGTTCGAAATTTTTGGTTTTTACAATTAATCAAAAGAATCCTTCGAATTTGAGTGTGCGCCGGTAGATTTTGTTAATTTTAGTTGTTTATTTTAGTTGTTTTGCCCGAAAATAAATGTGGAATTTTTAATTTTAAGGTTTCTTTGTTCGATTTTTGTACTTTTATGTTCGGATTTTTTGGGTGTTTACGATTAGTCATAAGAACTCTTAGAATTTGAGTGCGTGTCGGTAGATTTGTTATTTTTTTATCGGCAAAATTATTTTGTTACACAAAATTTTTTGGCGTCCAAATGATTTTTTTCTTTTAAAACTCAACTCGGCTGAAAACATACAAATCTGACAATAAATTATGTGATATCATTGATTTTGATGAATTGCACACAATTATTATGGGTTGAACTTGCAAATTTTTTTTGCCCAAATTAACGAATGTTGATATCAATTAATTTTAAAAGGATTGGTATTGAAATAAAACTCAATTTTTTAAAAGCATTATTTGTACCAAAATTGAGTAATTTAGTTACCAAAACTAACTATCCCTGATTGAAGGCATATTTAAATGTTTCTCATTTAATAAATAAAAAATAAAACAAAACTTGCCCGAAATGATATGCAATTAATGTTGCCAGATTTTTTTGCTTACTATTTTTGGTAAATAGTAATTCTTATTATATATATAGATATAGATTACTATTTTTGGTAAATAGTAATTCTTATTATATATATAGATATAGATTATTAAAATTGAGGAGGGAAAAGTTAGATAATGATTAGTATGCATTTTATGGATATTTTCTTTATTGAGGTGCACATGCTTTATCTTTGATATCCAATCACAGCCATAACGTTTTTGGTTTTGGAGCTGTACCTTGTGAAACTGTTGACAGTGCCGGGTTCTTGCAAGCCAAGATGTAGCTGGTCTTGTGAAGTGATTAATCGTACATGATAGGAAAGAAATCATCTGAACGGAGAGCGGGTTGTATGCAAAAGGTTCCTTCGCTGACCTCTTCTGGGTTTGGTACATCTACGTAGAGCGTTGATTGAATCTAGACCCTGCTAAAGCTGCTCTGCTATTGGTACAGAAGCCAGATAGAAAGTTTGTCATCACACCTGGTTTGCCAGGTTCTACCATTGCAGGGCGCCAGGGCTCAATCATAATTAAAAGAAGAGTTTGAGCTTGCAGAGGGGGATCTGTATCAAGTAGAGGCCAAAATCCAGCCCTTTCACGAGACTATACTTGCCAGTACCTAGAGACCTTGACAAAGAGATAGATGTCTTGGTCTTAAAGGACTTCTTATAGTGTTCTAAAGGGTCTTTGATGGCGAGTGAAGTGAGGGTTGAATAGATTTACTTGGAATCCTTCAATCCAGAGCAAGGATACTGATCTTTGTTGCTGACTTCTTCCTTCATAATACAGAGACAGGATTTAATTCATTGAACAAAACAATCCTTCTGGTTGCTCTAGTGCTCTCTTTTAGTTGAGAAGGGATTAAGTATTTATAGTTTCAGATTGTATTTCGACCACTGAACCGATTTTGCTTTTAGTGGTTGAATCACCATAATAATAAAATATGGAAATTTGATATCTAAGTTGGGTATTGGACTTGGATGTAATTTTATTACAACTTTACTTGATGACTCAGTGGGCTGACACCACTGTCTCCTGTTTCTTTTGTTGTGGGATATTTTTTTCCTTTATGAAATCTTTTCCCTTCTTCTGTAGGACAACTACCTTGAGGAAGCAATGAAAATGCGAAATCTCCTTGAGGAGTTTAGGGCGAATCACGGTCTTCGCCCTCCTACAATTCTTGGTGTAAGAGAACATGTATTCACGGGAAGGTAAGGAGTCCTGCCTCCTCTCCTCTCTCTCCCTCTATATATATGTTTATATATATTTATTTATGTTCACATATGTGTTTACACACGGAGTCATTGGTCAGCTCACATTTATTTCTATTTCAGTGTGTCCTCATTGGCGTGGTTCATGTCCAACCAGGAGACTAGTTTTGTGACATTGGGTCAACGAGTTTTGGCAAAACCTCTAAAGTATGTATCATTAGATTTTTGTTAAATAATGGCCTCATGCTACACTTGTTTCTTATGTTTCATGTGTGTTTGTAGATGATTGTGATCACACAGTTGAGACTGCATTTTATTTTATTTTTCCATAATATTCTTGTTTGCCGCATATATTCTTATTCTCGTGAANCTGGCTTGAAATACTAATATAACTATGTGCTGTACTACTAATAAATATATATGGAATCTTGCAGAGTCCGTATGCACTATGGGCATCCAGATGTCTTTGATCGGATATTTCATGTTACTCGAGGTGGCATTAGCAAAGCGTCCCGCGTTATTAATATCAGTGAAGATATTTATGCTGGTAAGTTTAAGAAAGTTTATTTCTTGTTGCAATGTTAAATTTTGTTGTTACATTATATACAAATGTTTATGTATGTTTTTTTCAAAATGAGGCCCCTTGCTAATTTTGTCGGATAATTGTTGTCACGTTTCGAAAATATTATAAGGTTATCACATTAAGAATTTGAGTCTAAGCTAGATACCTGGGCTTTTTCACCCTCTATTTTCTGTTTATAACTTTTCGTTCTCTCTCTCTCTCTCTCTCTCTCTCTCTCTTCTTTTTCCCTTTGAACATTATTAAACATGATGTCTCAGAAATTTCCCCGACCTGAAAAATATTATCAGGCCATAACATTAAGAATTTGGGTCTAAGCTCGATACCTGGGCTTTTGCACCCTCTATTTTAGAAAAATCAACTTTCTGTTCTTTCTCTCTCTTCTTTTTCCCTTTGAACATTATGAGGGCTTTCATTTTCTCCTGGTAAAGTAAACACGATATCTCGGAAATTCTCTCCTGACCTGACAAATGTCGATGCATTCTGTTATATTTACTCCAATAATCTTTCCTGTTTTCCAGTCATTTGTAGCGTTTCTGTTTTCAATTTAATCTTTGGATAATGATAGGTAGAAAGGTATAACTGAATGTGGTAGGAGTACAAAAAGTACTTTGTATTCTGATATAGCATGTGGTTAATGTTTTATCATGTTTGCACATCTACTCCTTTTGGTACTCTTATTGATACGGTTCTTCTACACATCGCTTCCACACATCTGTGAAATGTTTGTCTAACTTAGGGGAATCACATGAGACTCACGCTCTTTCGGGACTTTTGGTGACATTGTTCATTTATACAACCATTAATAAGTTTTCTAGTTTTTTGGGGTATATGACATGAGATGCGATGTATATGATTCTCACACCTACCGAAAATATTAGTTTGGATACTTTGAATATCAGAAATCCTATTGTATGATGTGGCATTGCTTAAACTTAACGTTGTAAACATGCAGGGTTCAATTCCACACTGAGGCAGGGGAACATCACTCACCATGAGTATATTCAGGTCTGTAAGATTACATAGTGCATCAAGTTAACTTGTGTAACTTCTTATTCTCATGTCGTATTCTTATTTAATTAGGTTGGGAAGGGAAGAGATGTTGGTTTGAACCAAATTGCTTTGTTTGAAGGAAAAGTTGCTGGAGGGAATGGAGAGCAAGTATTGAGCCGGGATGTATACAGGATTGGGCAACTTTTTGACTTCTTCAGAATGTTATCCTTCTTTTTCACAACCGTTGGTTACTACGTTTGCACAATGGTATCGTTGTTGATGAAATCTTATATGTAAGGAATAGAACAGCGGTGCTGGAATTTTCTATTAACGCTGTGTATAATTTCTTTGTTCAATGCAGATGACTGTTCTTACTGTATATGTTTTCCTGTATGGAAGAGCATATCTGGTAACTTCACGAACTCATAAATTTCTTCTAGTTTCCTTTTGTTGGTTATTGTTATATTCTTATATGCCTTTCTAATATCTGGCTCTTACAGTTGGAAATGCAAATTAGCTATTTAAGTCATAAGTGTATCTGTCTCTTAATTTGGGATACTTGGTTCATTGAGATCAAGCATGTTTTCAACGCCAAAAAATGTGCAGGATTTTAAATTGGGAGTATAATGTACAATAGACACCAGAAAGAATAGCTTGGCCGGTTTGGCTCAAAAAGCTTTGGTTGAATGCGTTTGATTCCATATTGTAGCAAACTTAAAAATCATCTACCTTTTGAAGAGTTACTCATGCCCCCAATGTTGTAAACTAATAATTATATGGTTGTGTAAAGTATTAGCTACCGGGGCTTGAGTTTTACACAATTTGATTATAAGCAGTGGGGAATTGAATTTTATTTTAGTTGTATATAGTTCTGCTCTCTTCTCTAGTGCCTTCTGTCTCTGCCTTCTGTCTCTGCGACATTACAAGCCTTTGATAGAGAAAGAAATGCAGCTTCATGGATAAGAGAAAGACATAAACTTCTGGAGGAACTTAAATTAGTGTACTATTATGTAACAGACTTTGCTCCTACAAAATTGCTGTTGCCTATATATACATTATCAGAAGAATAACAAAGGAAAAGCCTGAGAAACAGATTTCCGAGCACAACAGTAAATATCATTCAATGCTTTCTATGTGAAGTTTCTGTCACTGAACTAATTTGTCGTGGAGTAATCCACTTCCCTGTATTCTTTGTTCATTTGAAAAATTAGTCTACACTCTATAGATCTGTCTGATCTGTTTAACATAAAGTTTTACATGGTAGGATCAGATGGGTAGCCAACTTAGTCTTCTCTAACCAATTTCAACATTTTTATAACCATTATGATCATTTTACATACTAATTTTCAGTCATCAATTTTATTTTCCAGGCATTCTCTGGACTTGATCAAGGAATATCTAGGGAAGCCAGATTTTTGGGGAATACTGCATTAGATGCTGTTCTGAATGCTCAGTTCCTAGTCCAGATTGGTATCTTCACTGCAGTGCCCATGATCATGGGTTTTATACTTGAACTTGGCTTATTGCAGGTATATTCTACTATTTTTTAGAATCTTTTTATGTTTCAATTTTGACGATATGGTGTTGTGAGCAGCTTCATTTGCATGTAACCTTTTACTGTGTATTTGATAATGCTTTATGATAATATCTAAACAAATTCTCCATTATATTCGTTGCAATTATGTGCCAAGCCCCGCCCCCAGCACATGATAGTAAATTTGAGGTACATTTATTATATAACTCAACTCAACCTTTTTTATTTGCAGGCTGTTTTCAGTTTTATCACAATGCAGCTTCAGCTTTGTTCTGTCTTCTTCACATTTTCATTGGGGACAAGAACTCACTATTTTGGGCGTACTATTCTCCATGGAGGTGCTAAGGTATCAGGATTTCTTGCTGTTGCATTCAATAGGCCCTTCATCTGTGTAGGTTGATATCGTTATCTCGTGTGTACAATGCTTTGGCAGTATCGAGCAACTGGAAGAGGATTTGTTGTTCGCCACATCAAGTTTGCAGAAAATTACCGTCTTTATTCCCGGAGTCATTTTGTGAAGGCGTAAGTATCCCATTGAACAAATATCTGCTTTTTTATGTGTCTGCATGGTTCTTTGCGATATTACAGTGACTTTATACTCACTGGTTATGAATGTTTTTTCAGGCTGGAAGTAGCATTGCTTCTTATTGTTTACATGGCATATGGTTACTCAGAGGGGGGTGCAGTTTCATTTGTTCTGTTAACTCTAAGCAGTTGGTTTCTTGTTATCTCATGGCTTTTTGCTCCTTATATATTCAATCCATCTGGATTTGAATGGCAGAAGTAAGTTATTTCAACCCGTAAATTTTAGTTAGTTTGTTCATTTGTTTCTTTTTCTTCACTTTTAGTTTGTTAATATGCTGCAATGTGCAATCTTAGTTTCAATGCACAAGCAATTTGGCTAAGGAGGCCTCAAATATAAAAAGTTATTCCATTTTTGGCGCCTATCTTTTTCATGCTAGTGTTGAAACACTTAACCTTATTATGCAGAACTGTAGAAGATTTTGATGATTGGACCAATTGGCTTATGTATAAAGGTGGAGTTGGTGTCAAAGGAGATAACAGTTGGGAATCTTGGTGGGATGAAGAACAGGTTTGTCTTCTGAATGGTTTTTACTGAATGCCACTATATGTTTCTCGGGACATAAATATTTATACCGAATACCGCTGTGTTTCATGTGGAGCTATGAAATGTCATATACTGTGACATTAACTCACGAGTCATAATAAAGAAAAATGCCCTGTGACTATGTGGTTGGTATATCTTAAATACTAATTATCAGAAAAAACAATATGCATCCTACAAGTGCAATACATGAGGCTGAGGGCAGTTTTCTTTTACCTGTCCTTTTTGTTAGCTTGTTCTGGTAGTACCATGTTCTTATTAGAAGCATATTTTTTTATGCAGATGCATATTCAGACACTGAGAGGACGTATACTTGAGACAATTTTGAGCTTGAGATTCATAATGTTTCAGTATGGCATTGTCTACAAACTCCATCTTACTGGGGATGATACATCAATTGCGGTATACTCTTGGTTTGCTTTTTTGTTTTGGTCTCTCAAGAATGTATTACTTTTTTTTTGCGGCAATAAATGCTGAAATTTTCTTGTAGTAACGATGAACAAACCCTCCCTTGCTGATTCTTAAACTTTAAACGCTATCATTCATTAGAAAGTACTAGTTTTACTTCTCTGTTCAAAATTTTGTTTTATCCGCTTAGAAACTCTGTAGNTTTTAATTTGCCCCCTCTTAAATGATTGTTTGCACCCCCAAATTTTTTGCCATGTCTTTTTGCCCCCTCAATTAACTTCCTGGTTTCGCCCCTGCATCAGACCCCCAATGTGGTGTGGGATGGAAAGATTGTGTATGAGGAGTAAAATATCTTAGCAAAAGAATGGTAACAGAGAGCATAAAGGTGGTTAGGTAGTAACAAAAGAAGGAATGAGCAAGAGGTCTTCTACTCTTTCATTGTAACTCCATCTATGATTTATTCTTTGCAGGCGGGTCTTTCTTCTTTTTTCCCAATGACTATTTTAGCACATATTAGGTTCTTAACTGCAGGACATTTTATTATTTTAATTCAATGTTGATCCTGTATTATATCTTGCTTTCGAGAGACAATTCTCAGTTTTTTTAGCATGTATGATGAGTTGTCCTTAACAGTGAGTGGTGTTATCTAGTCCTTGGCCCAAACTCATCTTCCTTTAAATATTAAGACAGAAAGCCATAACGAAGATAAGACTTGGAGTTTCAAGAAAATCTTTTTAGAGGATATTAGATTCTCCTTTATGATTATTCTTTTTGTCTGCTCCACAGCCCTGGAGAAAACTGTGGATAGCCATTTTTCCATTTTATATATTAAATGTTAATTTCGAAGCCTGATTATTTTATTCGTTCTCCAGTTTTCGCGGTTAACCTGTTTGTGTTGTGTAGGTCTATGGCTTCTCTTGGGTTGTACTGGTTGGAATTGTTCTGATTTTTAAGGTTTGTCTTTTCTCTTTGCTTGACTAAAACTTGTAAATTGTGATTGTACAAATTTCATGGCAGTAATTGGTTTTATTTCAGATCTTCACGTTTAGCCCCAAGAAGTCGACAAATTTTCAGCTGATGCTACGGTTTATGCAAGGAGTAACATCGATAGGACTTATTGTAGCCCTTTGCCTGGTTGTCCTGTTCACTAGCCTATCGATAGCAGATTTGTTTGCTAGCATCCTTGCATTTATTCCGACAGGATGGTTCATTCTTTCTTTGGCAATTACGTGGAAGAAGGTGGTAAGGAGCTTAGGGGTGTGGGATTCGGTGAAAGAGTTTGCTCGAATGTATGATGCTGGAATGGGTATACTCATATTTGCCCCAATTGCTGTCTTGTCTTGGTTCCCCTTTGTCTCTACTTTCCAGTCCCGACTGCTCTTTAACCAGGCATTCAGTCGGGGTTTGGAGATCTCTCTCATTCTTGCTGGAAACAAAGCCAATGTTGAAGCATCCTCTTTCTGATATATAGTGGTAGTAGTGTTGTGGATTACTTGTGCTTAATTTCCATTTTATCGGATACTTTTAAAATATAATGTTGTGAATGAGTTGTTAATTACATGATAATGAGTTGTTATTGTATATCAGACACCTGAAACTCGTTCAGTTCTTTTTTTAAGTTTTTTTTTTTGTTTTTTTTGTTTTTTTTGTTTTTTTGTTTTTTCGTGTAGAGTTTGGCCTGTTGCTAATCTTACTCATCTCATTTAATTCAAGCTCAATTGTTATTGCTATACAAATATTTTTAATTTCTTTATTTGGCTTTAATTGGCATATTTAGCTCGACAAATATATTACTCTTCCCCTTCTCTCCAAACCTCAAATTTGTATTTAGCTTCACTCTATCCTATTCGAGAGGTTGTGTAGCCGCTCTCCATTTCACCTCTAAAGTTTGTTGACCCAAATCTAGTTGGCTTTATTTATTGTTCATCTTGATTTTATTTTGAGAAAATTACCCCATGAACAAACAAAAGCAATAAATATTGCATATGCACTAATAAAATATTTTATTTGTATCAAATTTATTTGTGTCCAAAATATTTGCACCATTGCGAGAATATCACTTAGAACAGTAGAAATTCACAAACCTTCCTCGTCGGCAACCAAATCGTCGGTCCACCCCACAGCGGCGGCGTGAACCAGCACCACTGAGACCCCAACGAGCACCATGAAAATGCTGGAGGTGGTGTGCGTCAGCAACAGGACGAACACTGTCGTTACATCGAGCACAACCAAGAGATTTTGGAGATTTTGTATAAAAAGGGGAGGACCGTGCGATGGACGGAGGGGGGGTGGCGTGAGATTTTGGCGAAGAGAAGAGGATTAGAAACGATAGGGGGTGGCGACAATGTGGGGGAGTGGATGCTCGGTGGCGGCAACAATGGAGGAGGAAGAAGAGGGTATTATGGTTGCAGCAGTGCAGGAGGAAGATTAGAGAGTTGTGGATTATGGATGCTCGGCGGCGGTCCATATATATTTTTTATATTTTTTTTTTTTTTTGTTTTTTAAAAATAAAAATATGTATATATGTTTATATGGTAAATATTTATCATGAAATACATATTATTAACACTTTAATATACAAATTTTATACACAAAACATTTAATTTGTTACTTTTATGTATATTTATATAACAAAAATACTCTATATATAATTTTAAAAATTTTAAAATTAATTATCCGATTCAGCAATTGACTCGGTGACCCGACGGTTGAACCGGTGATCCGGTGACCCGAGGACCTGCCCGGGTCGATCACCGGGCCGGGTTTAAAAACTATGAGTTCCTAAAAACACAAATATTTTTTAGGTTTGTGATATAATTGCAAATAAAGATTATGATTAGTATGTGTGCAATTACTTAAGAAAAGTTACGGTCTATGTGTAGAAGAGCCTTTTATTTTCCAATGAACCTAGTGCGGGTTTGAGCTCTTTTAACTCAGTATTTTTGTCTGACTTCTCTTCTTTCTAGGGTGGATAGGTGATAAGCATACGAGAATTGATGTTCAGGTTGGCTGCAAAATTAGTTGTTTTTTCGTTCCGGGTAAGCTCGACCCTACTGTTCCCATGGGGAATTAGCTCTTGACTTACACTTGTATACACACTCGTGTAGGTGGATGTGAAATCAAGAGACTAAAAATCCATGGGGTAGGAATGATTCAAGTTGACGGTGGCAGTGGTGGTTGACTACTAATTTAGTTTATTTATTTATTTATTTGGGTTTGATGGGTGACAATAGGGATGTAAAAGGGTTAGGTCGAAAATGGTTTCTGGCAAACCCGAACTATATATATATATATATATATACATTTTATCCTACATGAACTCGATCTGTTACTCGTTTGTTAGCTTTTAGGGGTATGGATTTTACCTGTAAGGTAAATGGGTAATTCGATTTCATCTAATGGGGACATCGACCCGACCCGACCCGACCCGACCTATATAAAGTAAAGAAAAAATATTTTATTCTACTACACAGTTAATTATAATATAACTAATAAATTTGTAACAAGGTTTAAAAAATAAAACAAGTCAAACAAATATTTTGTAGTTCTTTTCGAATTATAATGCGACTTATCCTTTTATAGCCTAGTTAATAGTATAATGTTAATGAAAAAATAAGTGTATGGTCATAGAGAATTTAATAAGAAAATATCTACAATGACAGATCCTTAAAAATGAGGACTTTGCATGAAAAAAATGTAATAATATAAGTACAAAAAAGCTAAATTTTATGTGAATTTGCTAACATATTATATATGAATTAATATTCTCTCATCATAGTTTGTACAAAAGAAGTATCGGTGGTAGTTTAATTATAGTGTTTTATGTTTTTTCAATTTTGAGTTTTTTCAACCCGTTCTAGATAGTAGTTTTTAATATTTTATAATCTTATGTAGGACTAACTCACCACTAATGTTTTTATATACTGCATTTTGCATCCATGATAAACTAATAGAACTAGCTTGAATTACTTAAAAGAAATTCAAGTACATGAAATACACACTGTAAGATCAAATTTCATTATTGATTATTATTGATCATATATATGGAACTTATGTTGTTATAAAAAATAAGTAATTAACTTTTTATTACAATACAATTATAATAAAATTTGATAGCAAATGCAAAATAATAATAAATAAAAATAATTAATGTTGAAATATACAATTCTCTAATCTTCTACATTGTATCTTAATCACAGAACACGACTAATTTTTTAAAAAATCAAAGATAATAAAAATATGATTGTTTTATTAATTTTAAGTATTTTGCATGGGTCGGGTAGTAAATCCATATACGAACCCGACTCTAAAATCCACACAATCCGAGTATACCCGATCAAAAAATGTGGGTAACTCGCGGGTAACCGACAATGTGAGTTTATTGAGGTGACAAGAATATGGAAATTGATGTTCATGGCGGTGGCGGCGGCCTGGCATTTGGGTCGGGTGGTGACTTTGGGAGAGAAATAATAGTGCGTTTGGTTTAGCTTGTGTGTTTTTAATTGTGAATCGCTAAACACCGCCCCCCGTGACCGTTTTGTCCCCCTTATAATATTCTCTAGCTTTCCAAAAATTTATCCTTTACTCTCAAACCCCCCTGGCCGGATAANCGGTCGGTCTGATATCTAGCTGCCACCAGTTTAAGATCAAGGAGGCAGACATGTCGAAGTCAAGACTCGTAGTGATTCTGTTCAGTTTGAGTAATGCATCGACAGTGTTCATGGACCTTATGAATTGAGTGCTTCATCCATACTTGGACCAGTTTGTCATCGTGTTCATCGATGACATTTTGGTCTATTTGAGAGACGCCGACAAACACATGGGTCATCTGAGGGTGGTGCTAGATACACTTCGACGAGAGAAGCTTTATACTAAGTTCTCGAAATGTGAGTTTTGGCTGGATCGAGTTGCCTTTCTCGGTCACGTTGTCAGCACTAAGCGGATAGAGGTAGATTCGGATTAGATAGAAACAGTGAGTGACTAGGAGGTTCCGTAGAATGTGAGTGAGATTCCCAGTTTCTTGGGACTAGCCAGTTATTATCTGAGGTTAATCATGGGATTTTCGAAGATAGCCCAACTGCTGACTCATATAACGAGGAAAACGGAAGATGGCTTGAGCTCGCCAAGGACTATAACTGCATGATTAGCTACCATTCTGGGAATACTAACGTGGTGGCCGACGCTCTTAGTCGGAAGGGTCGAGGTGAGGTACCCTACATGGGCACTCAGCAGGAGCAGCTGATTCGAGAGTTTGCTCAGTTAGAGATCGAGGTGGTAGGGTCATCTTCTGGAACTAGTGGTGTTCTGATATCATTAATTGTGGGACCGACTCGGCGAGAGAGGATTATGGCCGAGCAGCCAAATAATAGGTTCTTTTGCCGGATGAGAGAGCTTTCTCAAGTCGGTAAGATTGGAGGCTTCGCAGCAGCATCAGATGGGGCTCTAGTAGTCGAGCAAAGGCTTTGTGTCCTGAAGGTGCTAGAGTTGCGGAGGGAGATTTTACAGGAGGCACACAATGCACTGTACTCCATCCATCCAGGGAGTAAGAGGATGTACCAAGACCTTAATAGGTCTTTCTGGTGGAGAGGCCTGAAGAGGGATGTAGCGAGGTTCGTAGATCACTGCTTAATGTGCCAGCAGGTGAAGTCCGAGCACCAAAGGCCATTGGGGTTGTTTCATCCACTTCATATCCCCGAGTGGAAATGAGTGCATATCACGATGGACTTCGCGGTGAGCCTGCAGAGGTCGAAGAAAGGGAACGATGCCACTTGGGTAATAGTGGATCGTTTGACCAAGTCCGCACATTGTTTCCCGCTGCAGATGACTATGAAGATGGAACAGTACGCCCGACTGTATATAGAGAAGATAATTCAACTTCATGGGGTGCCCGTATCGATCATATTAGACCGAGACGCACGGTTCACTTAGTGATTTTGGGCTAGTCTGCAGAGTGTCATGGGGACGAGGTTGAAGTTCAGCACAACTTATCACCCTTAGAAAGATGGCCAATCGTAGCAGACAATCAAGACGCTGGAGGACCTGTTGAGGTCTTTTGTTCTTGATAGAGGTGACTCGTGGGAGGATGCGTTGCCACTTGTGGAGTTCGTCTATAACAATAGTTATCAGACGACAATTCAGATGGCACTGTACGAGGCTTTGTATCGACGCAGATGTAGGTCTCCTTTGTATTGGGACGAGGTTGGCGAGAGGAAGGTTCTTGCGCCGCGGATGATTAAGAAGACATTGAGCAGGTTGATGAGATCCGAACGAGGATCAAGGCCGCCCAGGATTGACAGAAGTCCTATTCCAATCTGATGATAAAGGATTCGCAGTTCAAGGTAGGCGATAAGGTCTTCCTGAAGGTCACACCGATGAAGTGTGTGATCCGATTTAGGAAGAGAGGGAAACTACAACCTCGATACATTGGTCCTTTCGTGATTCTACACCGAATCATTGACCTAGCCTATCGGTTGGCTCTACCACCAGAGCTTTCGGGAGTGCACGATGTGTCCCATGTCTCAATGTTGAGAAGATATGTGCATGACCCCGGGCACTGTTGGGATCTATGAGGATCTCGTCATGTACATGTTACGGATTCAATAGCAAAAGTAAACCTATGCGCAGCAGATTTAAAGGTTTGACGTAGAAAACTCACAGCTTAAATTTTTCTAAATCTGTCGGATTCGAGTTGACCGGGAACAACACACGAAC